ACCTGGAAAAAGAATAATTAAAGCTAAAAGGACCTGGCGACAGGGCAGCCCAAGAGCTTAAGGCCTGAGTTCAAGCCACAGTATAGCCAAGAGCAGTGTGCCAGGACAGGCATATACAGGTGAATGCCAGAGAGGTGCTCTTCCATCCTGCAGCATCCAAGGTCGCCTGGTGTGTGTCTGTGGAAGAGCCAGGATGGAGATCCAATATAAAGACCCAGGTCTTGGATTCCTTGGCCAGCTACTTCCAGATCTGACTCAAGCAGTGAGACTGGCTGCCTTCTGGGCAAACCCAAGCAGACAACTGCTCCCCAGGCTTCTAGGCCCCCAGACACGCCGCTAGTTCCGTTTTCACTCCACTGGCTTCTTTCTCGTTTATATAACATGTCTGTCTCCTCATTAGCAGCTCCTGAGAGCAGAGACCCGTCTGCGACACCCTGTTGTACCTGCAGTGTCTAGCACAGCAGGATGCGCTTTCTCCCTCCCTGTCCTCCATCAGCAAAGCTGAGAGAAGGCGGACCTCCCCACCCTGAGTCTGCAGAGCCTGCTGCAGCCCCTAGCCCTCCGTTTCTAGCTCTGCAATTAGCAATGAACGTCATGGGACCCAGCCCAGTGCTGGATGTTCCCAGAGTCTCTTGGTTGACTTTGAGGGTGAGGCCAGGAAACAGAGCATCCCTAAGCCAACAAACCATTTCAACTCCACCTCCTCCAGGGAGGTCTCCAAGTGCTGCCCTATTTGGGTGCAGAGTAGAAGGGGCTGAGCAATCTCCCAGTGTCTCATGCTCCTTGGGGTCCTGACAGAGCATTCATTCCACTGCTATGCATGAGCCCCTCGGAGGTTTCCCACACAGCCAGGTCAGTGTTTACCTGAGAAAACTCACACGGGCAATCACCTGGGAACTCAGTCCTATTGTCCCACTTAAGATAGAAGCTCAGAGAGATTAAGAAACCTACCTTAGGTCACAAAAGACTAATGAGTGTCACAGACTACTGAACCCCACAGCCAGGAAGTCGTGTGACCTTAAAGCCGGAAGTTTTCACCCCTGCAACCAGTTCTCTGCATCCTACCCAGCAAGGTACTGAGTTGGCGCTGCTACTGCTGCTGCTGATCAAGAGCAGCTGTGGCTGGCTGGCTGGTGGGCTGGCGTGGCTCCAGGCCTGCACTTGGTGTTTGGGAGATGAGAACAGGTCTAATTCTTATGTGACAGGGGGGAAGCTGAGGTACAGGGAGGTGAATCTCCCTGGTCAATGGGGCCACAAAGACTGCCCCAGCTCTGCAGCTGTTCTGAGCACTTAGGGAGTAGATTTGCTTTACCCCTAATGTAGCATCAAACCTGAGTTTGGGTTCCCCTGGTGGGGTCTTCTCCCTTGTCCAAGAGCTTCATGGTGTCCCCACTCAGGATACTTGGCCAGATGGACAAGTCTTTCCCAACCCACTGAGGGGGCCTCCCATGCTGAGTTTGGAGGCTGTATAGGGAGGTTAGCTGGCCTCCCTGCCTCCTTGTGTGACCGCAGGCAGGTCTCTTTCCCTCTCTGGTTCTTCCTTCCTCTTCTGTCAAACAATGAAACTCAATCTTCATCATTCCCCATCCCCCCCACCCCCAAAACTGCCACATGAGTAAAAATGGGTAAGACAGGCTCTTCCCAGGGGCATTTTGGTTTCAACAGGTGGCTATGGTAACAGAAAGGCACTGAGAGCCCAGAGCGGTGCACCCAGGGGCTTTGTCTCAGGAAGACAAGAAGAGAGAGCGACAGTACAGGTGGCAAGGTCTGCCAGGGCCCTTGCAGCACCCCCAGGACGGAAACACACACCCAAAAGCCCCCTGACGCCTGCAGAGGTTGTAGAAGAACAATAGGCACAACAGTTTCCCTGCAAAGGCCCAGGACTCTGGTGTCTCCAAGGAGGAGACTAAGATTCAGGATTTGTTGTCTGAGCTCCTGTAGCTACCACGCAGGGAGGCAGGGGTGGAATCCCTTCCTGTCTGTCTGAAGGCCCAGGCCAAGGTGCCTGCCAGGGTGGCACCTGCTAGGCCAGCGGCCCTGATTCTGACTTCTCCCCGCCCCTGCCATGCCACAGTGGGAATGGCAAATCCGCAAAGCAGTTCAACTGCCAGTTTAGGTGGATCTGGGTTCAAGTCTGTATTGTAACTTTGACAACTTCCTTTTCCCCACAGTCAGTTTCCTTCTACGCAAAAGAAAATAACAGAACATACCCCAGAGGGCTGATGGGAGCAAAAAATACAATACAAAGAAGCTAGCACAGAGTCAATATTCAAATGTTAGGGAAATAAAGGCACACTGGTGGTTTGTGTAGCCCCAGTTCCCTCTGCAGGAGGAAGGGACAGTTAAGAAACTGAGACTCAGCTGGCCACTGGTAGCTCACACCTGTAATCCTAGCTACTCAGGAGGCTGAGATCTGAGGATCTTGGTTCAAAGCCAGCCTGGGCAGGAAAGCCCATGAGACTCTTATCTCCAATAAACCACCAGAAAAACCGGAGATGGCACTGTGGCTCAAGAGGTAGAGCACAATTCTTGAGCTGAAGACCTCAGGGACAGTGCCCAGGCCTAGAGTTCAAGTCCCATGACCAACAAAAAGAAAAAGAAAAAAGAAAAGAAAAGAAAGAAAGAAAAAGAAACTGAATCCCTCAAGCTGCCCAGCTGTTTCCAAGTTCTGTAAGTAGGGATGAACCCAACTCGATGAATCATCCAAGATTCCATGACATAAGTTGCGGAAGGCACCTAGGATCTAGTACCATTCCGGAGCAGTTATAGCTGTTATAGCAGCCACATGGCCAGCATTGCTGACCATACTCTACCCCTTGAGACGCATGGCCCCAGCTGATTTTGCTTTTTTTTTTTTTAAATGTAGAGTCTAGTTTTCATGTTTTTGCTCATGTGGGCCTGGACCATGACTCTCCTATTTTATACCTTCTGTGTAGCTGGGATGACAGCTGTGTACCACCATGCCCAGATTTATTGGTTGAGATGAGGCTTCACTGACTTTTTTGCTCAGACCAAACTTGAACCACAATTCTACTGATCTCCATCTCTTGTGTTGCCGGGCATACAGGGAGTCTAGCCCTGTTCTTCCTTCTTAAAGCTGACTAAACCTTGGCAGGTGATGTATATGAGAAACTAAAGAATCCAGCAAGGGCCCAGGAAGTGGGCACTGGCACCTCCAGTCCCCAAGTCCGGTAAAGTGAGATCTCATCATGTAGCTAAAGTTGGCCTGGAACTCAAAACCCTCCTCCAATCATGGTAGCAGAGATTATAGGCATGCACCACTGCAACTGGTTTATGGGTGTAGACTTTAAAGCCAGCCTTCTCTGGGCTCACTTTCCAATTTGGCTACTTCCTAGTTGTGTGGTCTTGAGCCTAGCTAAGTTCTCTGTACTTGTCTCCCCATTGGTAAGCAGGGATGACACTTGATTGCCTCTTAGGGTCTTTGCCAGGATCAAGTGGACTTAGGCAGTTCCTGTGGAACTAGGAGAAGGCCATAGAACAATTGGCCTGCAGTAAATTCCAGCTAGTGATACAAAGAGCTACACTTATTATCTGATTGTCCAGAGCTAGCTAGGTTACAGTGGCTCCTTCCCACATCCCCAGCCAGCTCCAGCAGTGTTCCGTCCCTCTGAGAGGAGATTTGTCACACCTTAGACAAAGCAGGAGACACTACCTTTATGTTCAAATTAGCATCCTGATAGCCATGCAGCCTACCCACACAGGCCCATTCCCCATGTGAGGCCCTGGGGGAGAAATGACCCATCAGCATGAATCAACTGAGAGTACTGGACAATGCCCCCAAACTGGGGGTCATGGTCAAAGTATCTCCTCTAGAGCTGCTCCCCAAGTATCCCAGGATCAAACAGGAGCACAGAGCAAGTGCTGATAAACTGCAATCAGTTGCCACCTCCCTAAGTGCAGGGGTTCTGTCTATTGGATTCCCATTAGGGAAAGTGGTTTCCCCGCCCAAGGGCAGAGTCCTGAGCTGGCAAGGAAGCCCTAATAACAGGTCTAGGGGCCTCCAGACAAGATGTAAGGGTGGGTCAGAAGGAAGAGCCTACTTTCCTAACTTCCCTCTGGGAGTAGGGAGTACTTTCCCCAGGAGGGCATGGGTAGTGGGGGCCCAAGCCTACCTACCCTCCCTCCCTCTCTTCACAGACATCTACAATAGTAAATTGAGGCTGACAGCCTCTGACTCCTCCCTCCCCCCCCCCATCTCACATCCCATTGACCAATTGACTCTGCTTGGCTGACTCCAGGGCCCCGCCCAGCCCTGGACAGAATCTGTAAAGAGCAGCAAAGCCCGCCACGTGCGTCCAGACCCTCTTTAACTCCCTGGTTCCCAAGACACCACAGCTGGTGGGTGGAGAAACAACCGGGCTCTGCCTCGGGGCCATTGGTTGTCACTCCCCCCCCGCCCCCACTGGAAAGCCCACTGTGTGTGCCCGGAGGCCCAGAGCCCCCAGCGTGGGGAGGGGGCCTTTCCCCAGCTCCCCGGGCTTGGGGGCGGGGGGAGGGCCGTGCGCGGCTGCCAACCTCACCCGTGGTTCCCACGGGCGCAGCCACAAACCGGAGCCACCCCGATGCTTAAGTACAAAGCCAATGCCGCCCACCGGGCGCCCCGGGTTCTCCCCGGAGCCCGTGTGGAGGTGGACCCCGGGGCTGCGTCCCCCGAGGTTCGCGGACGTCAGGACCCTAGCCCGCGCTCACCAGATGCTGGGCGCCACGGCGGCGCTGGGTGCCCACTGGGCAGACGGCGAGGCTGAGACCCATCGGGGGGCCAGGCAGGGGCAGGGCAGGAGCTGGAGGCCGGCCACCGAGCCTCCGCCGTCTGGGCGCTCCCTGCCCCAGGGTCGCTCGTTGAATCGGCCGGGGGCGAGCCAGAGCCGGAGCCGAGAACGAAAGCACCGGCCAGAGCCCCCGCGTGCTTCTGGGGTGAGGATGCCCGGGCCTGGGACCCACAAACCCTGGGGAGACCAGGAGCCCCAGCCCGCGCTCACTTTGGAATTGTCGAAGGCGATCGACTTGCTCATGGTGCCCAGCGTGCGTCCGGCGCGGCTCCCTCTGCCGAAGCCCGTGAAATCTCCGCCGGGTCAGGGTCGGTCCGTGTCCCCGTGGGTCCAGAAGGACCGAGGCCCGCCAAGCCACTTTTACTGGGCCGGGCTCCACCCTGCCCGCCCAGCCACGCCCCCGCCCGCCCGCCACGCCCCTCGCCACGCCCACTTGGACCCACGCCCCTGTACGAAGCCCCGCCCCGTGCGGCCCGCCCCGCCTTTCGCCGGAGCCCCCGCCCCGCCCTCTGGCCCCGGCCCTGCATTTCCTGGAATTGTGGACGCCCCTACTCTCGTGGGGCGCTGCGCACCCAAAAACTTGGGCAGAGCCTCCTGTGGGCAGGGCCACCGCCCCAGCTCTGCCCCCCCCCCCTTCCTGGCTCCTCCAACGACACGACAACACTTCTGATGCCTCCCAGACGCCTTACTGTGTGCAGCCCGAGCCCGAGGCCGGTGATTCCGAAGTCTCGGGATAGAGTTCCACCCGCCAGACCACGCTCACCGCAGCGCCCCCGACAAAAACGACCAGTCAGGGCGATTTAGTGGGGGCCCCAGCTGGGATCCAGGGCCTGCTGGAGATCGCCAGGTTGAAGGGATTGGGGCTGAAGGATGAAGCCAAAGAGAGCACCCAGGGGAGAGGACGGCCATCCTGGAGACTCTGGTGACTGGAGAGTCAGGGAGAGGGGGGCACAGTAACCCGAAAACCCTTACCAGGTGTGCAAAATGTTCACACCAGCGCTGTTCAAAATAAGAGCATTGCACCCCAAATGCTCCTCCACAGGCAGGTGGGTAAATAGGAGGGAATAGTCACACCATGGACTCCAGTTTCTGCATCTTGCTTTCCTATTCTGGCACCTGGGAAAACCTTTCCCAGATCCTAGACCATGGAATTTCTGCTTTCCAGGCAGTTGAGATAATGGGGAGACAGCAAGTCTGTGCTCCTGGAGGTTTTTGTGCACTCCTCCGGAGTGGACCCGCCCTTGCCTGTGAACAGCACCGTGGGCTGTCTTGCCTTCTGGCTTCTGGCTGTTTAGTTGGTAGTGGGCATGGACAGATCATGGACAAGGAGAGGCCAGAGTGCCTTATTCCCTTTCCTTTCCTGCTTAATCACAGGGGCAACTGTCTCTCTACTAAAGCCTTGACTGCTAGCAGGCCTACCTCTTCTCCAGGTCCCCTCCTGTCCCTTCTCTAAGGCAACGAACGGCTCCTCTCAGTTTTGATTACCAGCCCCATTTTTCATTCCACCACCCATTACTGCCCTCTGTGCACTCCTCTCTCTGGGTTAGAGATTCTGAAACAGCAAAGCCTGAGACAGAGTTTGGCTTGTTTGGGAAGGATCCCAGGTACCTCAGTACTGGGAGTGCAGAAGTAAGGCAGGGAAGGGGAGTCCATTAAGGAGCAGGATACTATATGGAATGCCTGGGAGATGACAGAGACTATGGCTTGGACTTAACCCAGCTGAAGAGTCAGGACGCTGGGGGCTTACCCACCCTGTGACCTCTGGTATTATGTGTGGGATCATTGTTTTATGGTACTGGGAATCAAACCCAGTCACTTTTCAGATGCTAGAGAGGCTCTCTAGGCCCCGTCTCCTCTAGTATTGCTAAAGGCTACTTCCAGGATAGAAAATGACACTCTTACTGGATTTAACATAACCAACTAATCTTGCTAAGCTTATTCCTTTGTTTACACAATAGGCAGCCAAAAGACAGGAAGTAGCTTTTTCCATGAACAGTGACACCTGCCCATACTTTGCTATGTAATTCCTTTATTAAACCGGCCTCCATCCTGCAGTTTTGAGTGTATCACTGGGATCCTGCTGGGACCCTGAGGGATACAGACTAGTCTGAGCTTCTCTGCAACACACAGTGGGCCCACATCTACTGAGAACTGGGGGGGGGGGACGGAGACAGATGCCTTTCCTTAAATGTTAATGAAGGCACCAGAGATACGTTGTAAAGCATGCAAGAATTCTAACCAATGGAGCCTTCCTGCAAAATCTGGGTATGGATCTGATTGTAGCCAACAACAAAGAAAACAAAACTGAAAACAGAGAACTAAGGGGAAGGAACACTGGTCAGAAATGTTCTTTGCAGTTTAACCAAGAATTAAGTTGTGACAATATCCTTGGTAACTTAGCTACCAAGGCAGTTGTTAAAAGTTTTGAAGAGGAAGTACCACATGATAGAAAAAGAAGTAGGCATTCAAGGCAGATAGTTATTAGGGTAACTTAGCTACCACGGGGCACAAAACGTTGTAGAAACATGGCAGAAGGGAAGAGCAGGACAGAGTTCTTGCTTGGATGGATGGCCCCCTCCAGTCCCTGGGTTCAAGGCTGAGATACTTCATGTACATCTTAAGGTCATTCTGTGTACTGTCTTTCTTCCAGCCAGTCAGAAGACAAAGCTTGAGAGAGCCAGGGACAAAAGTGGCACTTGTCACTTTGGCCTGCCACAGCAGGGTCACATGGCTACGCTCAGTTGCCGGGGAGCCTGGAAGAGGACATTTGAATGTATCTTTCTCCAAGGAAGTCCTTTCATTCATCTTCCCACAGACCTGCTGTCATCTGCCTCACACAAAAAGTCCTGTGAGAATGAAATCACCTTGTTTACTGGAAAATGGATGAAACTGGAGATCATCATGTTAGGTAAAATAAGTTTAAAAAGATGAGTAGCACATGTTTTCTCTCAAATGTGGACTCTGGGCAGGGGGACATGGAAATAGAATATTGGGGAAAAGGAAGGGGATTGGGGTGGTAGGAAGAAGGTCATGTGGGGGTGAATATGATCAAAGAATGTTATATGCATGTATGAAAATGTCCTATTGAAACTCATTGTTTTGTACAGCTAACACATACTCTATGTGTGTATGAGAGAGAGAGAGAGAGAGAGAGTGTGTGTTTTGTGGTCTTGGCTAACTTCTCCAGCCAGGTAACCAAGTGTACTGGTTCATTTCCTCTCCCATCTCCAGCCCTAGCTCAGGGCCTGGTGGAGAGGAGGAGCTTGGTGTGGGATGGGAGATGATGGAGTTTTAGTGGGCAGTTCCAGCCACTGTTGTGGGGGTCCTGAGACAGAAGGGAAGCCATCTATTCCTCGTGTGAATGGACGGCCGATGTGCAGCTCAGTGCAGCGCTCAGGTGCCTCGGATGGGTGCTTCTGAGCAAAGATTTTAAGATCAGTTCTTCCTGCCACACACATTTGCATGAAGTATGTCATTATGATGGCCAGTGTTTACTGAGTACCTATTATGCGCCTGGCATGACAGGAGATGGGCCTTTGTGATCTTACTAGTCCTCTCAGCAGCCCTGTGAGGCAGTGCCCGAATTCACCCCCTGGCTTAGGCAGGAGCCAAGGCTCTAAGCTAGCACCACTGGTGAGAGGTATGGTAGGGTTGAGTCGGAAGGTCCCAGTCTTTGGGCATGTGGTCCCTGGTGATAACCAAGAGAAGGCAGGAGACAGTATGGCAGCCATCCCCAAGGAAGAGCCCAGGGTTTGCATCCCAGGTCCTGTTACGGTCCTGTGTGGCTGAGGGGGGATGGTTGCCCTCCCCTCCTGGTATGTTCAGTACTGGAGTTCCCTGAGCTGGCTCTGCCAGGCACTGAGGACAGGCAGTCAGCCCCACTGGGATTGATCACAGTACAATGGCCCAGTGTAACACTGTGTGACAGTGCATTAAGTGATTCTTCTCCTAGACTCTTGTTATCTTCCTCTGTGAGACTCTAGCAAAAGGCTAGGAAGGCCTGGAGCCAATGGTTCACGCCTATAATCCTAGCTACTCAGGAGGCTGAGATCTGAGGATCATAATTTGAACCCAGCCCAAGCAGGAAAGTCTGTGAGATTCTTACTCCCAATAAACTACTCAGAAAAAGTCAGAAGTAGTGTTGTGGCTCAAATGGTAGAGTGCTAGCCTTGAGCACAAAGAGGCTCAGGAACAGTCCCCAAGCCTCGAGTTCAAGCCCCAATACTAGCAAAAAAATAAAAAAATATATAAAGGCTAGAAAGTCAGAGGGTTGCAAACCCCACTGCTGACGGAGCAGGCCTGGAATGCCGATGGGCACATGCTCGGCTCTGTGGTTTTGTGCAAGTCTCCGTGAGCCCTGATTTCCTCATTTGGGAAGTGGGGATTACACACATGCGTCCTAACCCTGGGATCAGGGGGTATGCATCATCTTGAATGCATGATGGCCCGTGGATAGTCCCCCAGGCTGACGTGCAGACAGAGCCTTGCAGGATGAAGACCTGAGTGCTAAGAGGCAGGGCCTGTGGCAGCAGGGGGAAGAGACACCCCGTGTAAATGTTGCAGGGCCAGAGTATTAAACCAATGTTTCCAGATCCTCTAGTTACTCAAGAAAAGCCAGAACTTCAGTTTCAATGTTTATAGTGTGTTAGAACAGCAGCTTATTCTTCTAACCCTTTGAGCTCAAGAAAACATCTATACACCACGTGTTACCCTGGGCCTGCAGACTCCTGCTGATACATATTTTTGGCGCTGGAGTTTGAACTCAAGGCTTTGCCTGGTTCCTGCTGATTCTGACCTGGAAAGAGAATGGGGGAGGAGGAAGTTGTCCCTTGACTCACCTTTATGAGAGAGACTTAGCATCCCTTGCTTGGCTTGCATACAATAGAACCTCCCAGAATAAAGCCAGCATTGGTGGCTCATGCCTGTAATCCTAGCTATTCAGGAGTCTGAGATATAAGGATCATGGTTCAAAGCCAGCCTGGGCAGGAAAGCTTGTGAGATTTCTATCTCCAGGGAACCACCAGAAAAGCAGAAGTGGAGCTGTGGCTCAAAGTGATAGAGTGCTAACCTTGAGTGAAAAAGCTTAAGGACAGCACCTTGAGTTCAAGCCTCACAACCAACAAGGAAGGAAGGAAGGAAGAAAGAAAGAAAGAAAGAAAGAAAGAAAGAAGGAAAGAAAGGAAGAAAGAAAAGTCTCAGAATGGCAGTCGTTGGGAAAAGATAGAAGTTTCTCTGACTTGTGAAAGTCCGAAAGCTGGCAATGCAAGGCTGGTGTGGCATGGTGGAGCCATGAAGAAGGCTCCTTCCTTCTCTCCACCCTGTCATTTTTAGTGCATTTTTAGAGCATT